GGGTGTGTTCCTGCAGTGGCTCTGTACTGCACAGTACAGACTGCACAGTACTGCATTGGCTTGGGTCACAAGGGTGGAGATTGGGAAGTGTACAACATGTCCTCCTATTCTGGAACAATTGCAATGTGTGTTTTCTAGAAAGCTCCCCACACCTGGCTCCAGGCTTACAAGAGCTGTGAAATCCACCTGCAGTATGAGCTACAGGACTCTAAGATAAGGATGGGGGCTGGTATGGACCCTCTTTCTACCTTTTCCCTGCAAGGGAAAGTTTCTCCTGCATCTGTCCCACTTTCAGAGAGACTTGTCAGCTAAGGCCTTGTGCCTCTCTCTCCTCTCTATGCTGCCATCCTGGGCTTTCATGCTCCACAGGGATCTCACCAGTCTCCTGTTGCACTCCTGCACTCTCCTACAGATGCTCCCATCAGTTTAGCTGTTAGTTGTTCTGGTGCTTCACTATGGGAGGGACATGCCTTAGACAATTCTAGTCAGCCATCTTGTCTTCTAAAAATTCTCATATTATTTCTATTATCATTTTTTAATTTAGTTTTTAAGACAGGACATTCACATTCATATCCAGGATAAGTGTCTGTTCGTATAAAATGAATTGCTGCCACTTCCAGGGCGGAAGAGGTCCAGTATTATCACCATACCACCAGCTCTTTATTCTGCCCCACCCCCACCCCATTCCCCCTATCTCACACCCCATTCACCCAACCACCTACCTGCACCTTGATCAAGCACTCCCAGAAAATAGTCTCATGCGTGTTCTCCTGGCTTCTGCCAGTACATATTAGCTAGGTCTTGGACTTAATTCAGGGTATAGTTCATTTTTCCATTACATGTCCCCATCACATTCCTGGCCAGGTTATCCTGTAACTTAACCCCACTTTCTGGCCTAGTGTCCAGCAGAGAAGGTAGAGCAGATCATAGCAAAGGGCAGCATGTTGCCTAATGAGAACAGATATTTCTCCATCATCTTCCAACAGGAAGGAATACTAAGCCTTTTACAGTGAATAATGGGCCACTTCTGGGGATTCAAGAGTTTCAGGTTCATCAACCCAGATGTTACCATCCCATGGGTCAAGGATCATTCTCTCCCAACTGGGGCCCTAACCTTAGCATAGCAGACTTGCTTTGGCTGAGAATTTAACCTTCTTGGGAGCTCTTCTCTCTTACTGGTCAAGGTCCTCCTTGCCCTCCTGCTGTAGATGAGAACTTCTTTATATGCTATTCAAAAGGCCCTCTGCCTTTTATGCTTAGCTTTGAATTTCTGATCACTTTGAGAATTTAACCTTCTTGGGAGCTCTTCTCTCTTACTGGTCAAGGTCCTCCTTGCCCTCCTGCTGTAGATGAGAACCTCTTTATATGCTATTCAAAAGGCCCTCTGCCTTTTATGCTTAGCTTTGAATTTCTGATCACTCATGTTCAACCTTTTTCTTTCTTGTATTTCCTCAATTGAGCTTAACAATAGCCATCTAATTCCACTGCTCTTAGAGTTTACCCATATTTCTCAAAAAGACTGAAATACTGCACTCACTCATGCATTTTCTTCAACCACAATACTGTTCCAAGACAACACCAGTAAAAGATAGTGTTGTGGGGATGTTTGTGTTCAGCTTACCCCCAGTAAAGGAGTCCTTATTGCCAGCACTGTGTTAGGTGATCCAACTCCAAAATCTCATTTTAGTGTCTGCTTTCTCAGATCACTTTTATCATCAACTGTCACTAGTTAGGTTCCCTGGGAAGCAGACACTGAGATTGAGATTTCATTTTAGGGAATTTTCTTGTGGTCAATACCAGGGGAAGGAAAGGAAGCAGAGTTGGGCTGTGGTTCAGTGTCAATAAAAGCCTTAACTGACTCCTGGAGAGCTGTGAATATAGGATATTCCTGCAGAATTGTCCTGAGTTGTGGTGAACAGGTCTGGCCGTTATGCCTCTAAATTGAGCAGTTATTGGATGCAGGCCAGCCCAGGAAGGGTCATGACCTTCTGAAGATAATTCTTTTCACCCTAAGCTGTTCCAAAGAGGGCTGACTACTTAGGGCTGTCTACCAGCAGTATTTCTAGCAGCTGAGGGAATAAGTCTTCCATTCCTAAAAGATCTTGGTGGCATGTCACAGGATCCGTTAGTTTCATTTAGTACATTTTCTTTGATTTTATTGTGTGTATTACTCTTAGCCATGTGGGAAGGTGAGAAATTTATTGCTGTGTTGACTAAAATTTTTTTCTAGCAGTTATTTCATTCTCATTTAATTCCAAGTATGAGGTATGATTCTTCATATTGAATTGTTAATAATTAATTGTCTCTAATTTTATTTCTCTATGTAATTAATCATTTTTTCTATAACCTCTTTTCATAATTGATTACTAAAATGAGATTTTTAAAACGTCAGTTTTACAGGGTACTTCCAATCCCCCATCTAGCTTTACTACTTTTCAAAGTTTTAATAAATAGCTATGAACGTTTTAATAAGAAGTTTTAATACTATGAGAATAGAATCAGCATTGTGTCTTATAGTTCTTAAATTTTCTAAATATGCATGAAACAACAGGAAGATCATAACTTATCATGTTTTATGCAAATATATATTGAGACTAATACAATACCAGTAGAAAAAAAATTCTCGAGTTGTTTTTCCAGAAATGGTGATAGATTGTTGGTAGCCATCTACCACTCCCTTAATTCTCTTGCTTAGCCACATGTGGTTACAGAATAGTTCCAATCCCATGATGCTAACTGCCTTATTAAGGCACTGAGCCTTTGATCCCTTATTGGAAAGATGCCTCTTCATTTATTCTCAAACGTATTAAGAGTTTCCACAGTTTGATATTGTCAGTCTGAACAAATTCACCTTAGTTATATTATATAATAGTATGATTGCCCCTTTTCTGGGTTTTACTTCTTTCAAATAGCTCAGAGTTTGCACTGTCATGCCTCTCCTAGTGATTCTTAGAAATCTCTATGGCTGTTAAATCACTAATCATTTTATAATGCTGATTATCCACATTTTCAGATAATGTGAAAATGTAACAGCTTCTAAACAATCTTAATATAGTAGTCACTGTGATCAGTCATACTTATTTTTAATAAAATGCTTTAACATATGACCTCTATTTCCCCAAGACTTTCCTTTTAAAGATGCAATAGAGTAATTATTTTTAGACAGTCTAAGCAAATTTGTAAGAACTACAATATTCAGATAGCATGGTGTCCCTGTTATCCAACAATCATTTGAACACATACTATTTCCAAGCACATAGGAACCACAGAGATATAAAAATCAATTAGGCATGACTTCTACCCTCAAGAAGCTCCAGAAAGACAGATGTGAAGCCAGAATATCGTGGTGTATTGTGATAACCACCATGATAGAGATATCATAGTGGGATAACAATGGAAGGAAAGCTCTGCCTACAGAGAGGAAGGGCCTCAGGAAAGAAGGGGATATTTGAGCCAGTTTTGAAGAATTAATTCACCAGGTGGCTGTGAGGTAAAAGGGCACTACAGGGAGAAGGAATGGCATGTACAGAGGCAAACAGAAGTGAAAGAATATGATAAAATCTGGTGACTACTTTGCTGCCTGGAGCACAATCTTCTTGTGGGGAAATAGAGGAAATAAGCCTTGGAACGTAGGTAAGGCAGTCTTCACATGACAGATGAGGGATTTGCCCTACATCCTGGAAGAAAAGGAATGAGATCATATTTGCACTTCTGTTTTTTAATTATGCTGAGATAAATATGAAGGATACATGGAAGAATGAGAGGGGATTGGCGGTAGGTATATCATCACACAAATCTCAGATATTGTTTGGGATTTTCTTTGATGAATATGGACGTGAACCCTTCATTGGGAGAGCATGTGTCTGTGACAGTAAAAAATAAAAACATCTTTGTAAAAGACTACAATTCTGTATGCGTAGGCAAAGCATCTTCTGTGTGATGGAAATAAATGATACGTGGACGAACGGTTCCACTTGGAAACAGGAGTTTTCAATTCAACTAACTATAAAAGTGAACAAATTACTTAGCTTTTTGGGGATTCTATGAACATCTTTATTATTATGACCATTACATAAATTAGCTTCATTAAATTCATATAAAACCCTTACAGAAAACACATTAAAATACTAATGATAGTTTTCTAAGAATATTTAATATGAGGGAAAAAACCTTTTATTTAAAATAGTCATGGTCTCCACATCGCTCTGGGTAATTTCGATTTTTTAAAGCATAAAAGAGTAATGTCATTTTAATATTTCTGTGAGTCACCTCATCATTTTAAAACCTTATATATTCATTAAGTAAAATTGCCATTGTACAGACATTGTAACAAATGCCGCTACTAGAATAGATTTGCTGTTCAACTGGCCTTTTCATTAATAGGATATTTGGGTTGACTGTAAACCTATTGTTTTTCAAAGAAATTTTATTAAAATTATTGTACTTTCCAGAAAAACAAATTTTTTTAGCTGGAATTTATGATGATAATTTTTCTATTACTCAAATTTTGAAACATAATTTATTACTCATTTAACATGACTGCTAAAGATTTGGGGTGCTGAAACACTGTAATTTAAATAATGCTGAAACCATACCATAATATATAGACAAGTGTTGCTTTTAGGGTGAGGAAAAAAAAAATGTGATTATGATCAGAACATCTTTTCTTAAAATATAATGCACTTTGAAATAAAAAAGATTTTTTAGAAGTGTATGATAAAAAAAAGTGCTACACATAATTGTTATTGAAAATAAAGAATGATTTTGAAGGACCAATACCAAATACACTCTTTAAATACATTTTCCTTAATTGTACTAATACAGGGTTGTCTGCTTTTTTCCCCTTTTTTGGATAGTAGTAAACATGTTAAAATATAATTTAAAATATGTTTAAGTAAAATTGTATTAATAATTATTTTTATATATTGTATATCTTGCTGTTTTTAAATGTACACATCGGCATGACTGCAGTACTTATATTTTTGTTATTTTCCTTCTAGATTTATTCCTCACAACATTGTCTGACTCTAGTACTATCCAGTTTGAGATATGGGAAAATTTGGTAAGAAATCTTTTCTTTGAAGCATTTTTAAATGATGGCTTTCAGTAGAAGCACATAATTTTAGAAAATGAAATGAAAGTAATCACTTGGTCGGTTGATTTCAACAATAAATAGAAAACTTTAAGAGCCTTTGGTTGCATTGCTGAATATTGCTGAAGGAAATGATTCATTCAGTATCAGTTCCTCTGTAGGTTTTTTGGCATGACTGCCAATTAAACCAATCAGTCTGCCGTAATGCACATGTTAACAGGACCCCCGTTAGGGTGTCAGCTGTTGAGAGAGGTTACTGTCATTTAATTTGTCAGCATGATAGTTTATGAAGAAAACTCTTTTTAAAAGACTAATTTTGCCTCTTTGCCCTTCAGGCTTATATAAATTATAACAACAGCCACTAAACATACTGCCAAGTTGACTAGAATTAAGGAGTCTTTCCCAGTAGAGTTTTTTGTTGTTGTTGTTGTTTTTTAAATCGTAAGTAGAATCCCAAACTGATGTCATGCTTTTATTTTACTTTTAGCTTGATGTACATTGTATGAAAGTGTAGAGGCATGGAACCAACTTCCCCTTTTGCCCCCTGAAGGTTCACTGAAAATCAACTGACAAAACACCGATTAATAGGAAGAAACAGCCTAACAAATTTATTTGATCATAGTTTTATGTAACTCTGGAACCTTCAGAATAAAGGCTCAAAAATATAGGGAAAACTGCATTTTTATGCTTAGGTTCTTTGAAGCAGGGACAGCTGTATAGATATGTGATTGGACAAAAGAGTATGATCTAATGCTAGTAGACTGAGTGGGAAAACCCAGCAAGGCCTGTCTATTCAGGTTCTTCTTGGCCTCTATGGGCACCATTCCTTCCCCATGGATATGGGTAGGACCCTTTCTAGAACAGAGGCCTTAGGACCTACAATGAGACAAAGTAGATCAGAGGATTTCTTTATGGCCAGCTCCAAGACAGAAAGTCTGAAGTGAGGAGTGGGAATTAGAGTAATTTTTAGTCTTTATGGCTAGCTTTGGGGAAAAGTGGTTCTGGTTTTTATGACTTACCTTGGGGAAGAGGTATTCTCCTTTCTTTCACCTGACTCCAGGGAGAATGAGGCTGAGAGACAGGAGGGCAGGAGAAGGTCAGAGGAAAACTTTGCTTTTGAGACAGCTTCTGAGGCCTTCACCTTGTGGTATTCTATTCTGAGCCCCAACACAAGATTAATTAATGAAGAATAAACCACCTAAAATTATAAAGCTGAATTTCAGGCTAGAGAAGACAAGATTTGAGACCAGGCAAAACTGGCCAACTCAGTCACATTCATCAGATGTTGGTCTGGCTGGGTATAAGAGTCTGTGCTTCATAAAATGTTTGTTTAATTGTTCATAAAATGTTTAATTTAAGATTAAATCAAACAATATGTGTAAAATACCTAGCACACAGTAGGCACTTAACAAATTTTAGTTTTAGATTTCTTGATTTCCCATCTATTTACTCCTGATTATCTTTTATCCAATCTAAATTAAATCCATAATCTTCTATAGAGTTTATTAAAATGCTAATGAAGGGGCCGGCCCAGTGGCGCACTGGATAGTGCGCCGCTTGGGAAGCGCAGCGGCGCTCCCACCCGAGGGTTCGGATCCCACATACAGACCGGTTCCCACTCACTGGCTGAGCGAGGCGCGGGAGCAACACCGAGGGTTGCAATCCCGTTGCCGGTCCGGTACGGGGGCAACACTGAGGGTTGCGATCCGTTGCCGGACACGGAAAAAGACAAAAAAAAAAAAATGCTAATGAAAAATAAGCAGATTTTTAAAATGTAAAGCACAGACTCATGGAAGAAGATTCATTTCCAGCCATTTCTTATAGTATGACCAATGTTTCAAATTTCTTCATGGAAGGTGAGGGGGAGGTTCTTTATTTAGACAAGATCTGAGATTCTAACTACTGCTTCTTTTTTTTTTTTTTTGTGACCGGTAAGGGGATTGCAACCCTTGGCTTGGTGTCGCCCGCACTGCGCTCAGCCAGTGAGCACACCGGCCATCCCTATATAGGATCCGAACCCGTGGCTGGAGTGCCACTGCACTCCCAGCACTGCACTCACCCGAGTGCACCACGGGGTCAGCCCCTAACTACTGCTTCTAAACTAAGCAGTTTGATCCTTTTTTTTTAAATCGGGCAAGAAAAGTAAGAAAGACATCTAAACCAAAAGGATTTTTTGTTTAATGTACTACTTTAAAAAAAATGTAATTATACTTATTTTTCTGATGATAGAAATACAGTTTTTATATTCTTTATAATTGCTGTGCATTAAGTGTTTCCTTGCTGAGGGATATTTGTTTGCAGATGTCCTTTCATTCTTAACTCATGTGAATCTTCAGGTATTAGAAAATGAGAGATGTATTTGATCAACTTATATCCAGGGGATGAAGCGGCTGGGAAGTCTCAAATAAGTAGAATGTATATAAAATTATGAAACACACTTTTAAGTATATGATGTTCTCTCAGCCTAAACTGATTTAAAGGTAATAAAGTGAAGCAACTCAAAAGGAGAAAAATTTTCATGAAGAGAATAGATTTTGTTTGGGATTTTTTTCCCCTTTATTATTGTTTTTTTAAAAAGAAAATTAATAAATTGGCTATTGGACAATAGGGACTTGTTATAAAGCAGTTGGGTCAGTGAGTACTGTTAAAGAAAAAATTATTTAGACATTTGTTAAATATGGTAAGGCAGATTTTATTAAAGGGGACTTACTACTCCAATGGGATTTTGCAGTAGGGAAGAGAGATTGGATGCAACTTCATATACAACAAGAAAAATTGGGACATTATAGCCAAAGAGTAGGGTACAGATCAATGAATGGGAAATTATTAAGAGGGTAGAGTAATTCTTTGCTAAACTGACCAAGCTTGCTGAAGGCAGGCCAGAGTAATCAGATACTACCTGGGAGACTGAGGGGGATGAGGAATTTGGTTAGATATTGAGGGTGGATTATTCTGACTTAACTGACATAGGAGGATTCTTGTTAGAACTGAACTCTACAAAGATGGAGGTGGAAGCCCCAGGTTGGGCTAAGTCGAGCAGAGGTCTTAGAGGAACCAAAAAAAAAGTGTGGTCAAGGAGAGAATCTTTGTCAGTATTCATGTTAAAATAAGTCATTAATGCAAATTAAGAAGAATGTAGATTCAAAATTAACTAATTCAGGAAAAGTGTGGTTTTCATAAAATGGATGATCATTTTTAATTAGAGACTGGGCAGACACTTCGTAGTAACACACTAGTGACCAAAAAGAACTCAAAACCTATAAAACCATTTTCGGTAGTAGTAGAATAAGAACTACAGCAAATCTTTTTAGAAAGGTGTGTGCATAGCCCCATGGTAGTGCTCTGGGAGATACAAAATTGAATAGATCTTGTAGGCTAGGAGGAGGGCTAAGATGTGCGTGTGGACGAGTCTGGCTGGCTTGATGAGAGATACAGAACTCATGCTACAGGAGTTGAAGGACAGCAGTTGCTTCCATCTGGTCCAAGAAAGGCCTTAACACAGGATACATTCCGAGAGTAGAGATTGGCTGGCTTACGTCAGACATGAAAGAGATATAGAAGGTAAGATTAGAAAAATTGGTTTATCCAAATAAACTGGATAGGTAAATTAAAAACAAAAAAAAGGAAAAATTGATTTAGACAAGATCAGTGAAGGTCTGACTTGATCTTTTAAAAATCTATTGAGAAGATATTAAATGTTTTATAAGTAAGAGTAAGATTAATAGAGCTTTCATTATTGCTCTTAATCTGGCTGCTGCATACCAGATAGGTTAGCATGGAAAATTTGGAAGTAAGGAGATAACTTAGGTGAAATTTATAAGAACCTGGTAAAGGGGTGAATGATTAAAGGAGTAAAATGTTAGGAATGGACAAGGGATAGATATGAGAAGACAAGATGACTATTAACACAATGGTAACTGGTGTTTTGTTCTGGTGCCCAGTAACAGAAATAGAAAAGACAAAAGAAGTATCTAATTTGGGGCAGGAAAATAAATTATTTTATAATAGAGACGTATCAAGGAAGTGATTAGAAATTTAGAACTATAACTCAAGGAAGATAGTAGATAGGTGTAGTAAAGGAAAAGAGTTAAGAGAGAAATAACAAAAGCAGACTCTTAAACATCCTTTATGTCAGAATTTTTCAGTCTTGGCACTGTCACCATTTTGGACCAGATAACTGCTGTGGAGAGTTGTCCTGTCCAGTATAGGCTGTTTAGTAGTATCCTTGACCTACACTCACTAGATCATAATAACCATCCCCCAATTTTGACAATTAAAAATGTCTCCAGACATTACCAAATATTCTCCGAGAGACAAAATCACCCCCATTGAGAACCACTGCTTTGCATGAATAAAGATATGGATATATAATAGTCATCACATATTGCTTCCTGAGCATTTTTTAACATTTTAAATATGACAGGTTTAACATTAAATATTAAAACATGCAGACTGAGACATTGACATTAATTCATTAGAGGATACTTGCTACAGCATGGCATTTGTGGTAGGAATTCATACTGAAATTGGCAGGACAGTGCCTTGCCAATGGTGGTGGGTTAGCTGCTTTGCCGGTGGTGATAGTTGTGGAAGCAGTAGCATTATTACTAGTGTTTCTACTACTACTAGCAGTTAACGTTAAGTAAATGCATTCTATGTGCTGGGCACTGTATTGAGCACTTTATATGGGTTATCTTATGAATCCTCACAAAAACCTCTTAAAAATACATTTTAGAGACGTCAACTGATAGAGAAGAACTCAAAGCTAGCAAACAGTAGAGCTGGGAGTTGAACTAGGAATTCTCTCTCTAAAATTTCTACCTGTAAGTCATTGTGATGATAATTCCAGAAACCAAGTAGACAAAAGAAAAGGTAAGGATATAGCTGCAGCAGAACCCCTAGTGAGTTGGCCCAACTTTGGATTGCAGGGAAGGAGTGAAGGCCAGTAAGAATAGGACAGTAAAGAATGGGGCAGACCATGGAGTGGGTGAGTCCCAAATAGCAGCCTATGAAAAAGTATTTGCATATCATTAGCACAGGACTGCCATTATAAAAATACCTTAGAGTGCCTGATACATTACATTTTGCAGAATACTTTCTTGTGTATCATTTCATTTAATCCTCTCTAGAACCCTACAAGTAGACAGTACATTTAGGCCCTTTTGATGATTTAAGAACCAAAATCCAGAGTAGTAAGTGGCTGTCCCAAAGTGACACAGCTTAATTAATGAAAGCAGGACTGGTATTTCCAATATCTAACTTGAAGTCTGGTGCTCTTTCTACCAGACTATTCTGCTCTCAGAATGAAAAACAGTATTGATACATTTTCTTCCTGCGTTAAATAGCTGCATAGCAGCTTCATCTTTGAAAGTAAGTGTGGCCATGCTACACTTTAAAATGTGTTATCTAGTGAGAGTAATAACATATTGATGATGCAGTTATTAAATCATTTTTGCCAAATACTAAGTATATAAATGATGCTAATCTGAATGTAATTAAGTTATATAGGTTTATACTGCTAAGTGGAGTAAAGAGTAAGTAATGATAATGATAGAAAATTCATCTAAGTAAAGAATTGTCTTTTCCCCCAACTTTGACATATGTATAATGTGTTCTTCATGCTCTCATTGTGGCAAGAATATATTCTCTTTCTCTAATAATTAGAAGATCGTATTGCTCTTCTTTTATTGATGCTCACTGTGAATGTGGCATCTTGGACATGGGAGGCTGTCACCTGGCAAGTACTCAATGTTTCTTGGTGGAGATGAATCATGAGGTTATATCTAAAAACATTTCCAGATATATTTACCAAATTTTACAGACCTGCAGAGGAGTAATTTATTCACTGTAATCAGTATATTTGGTTTCTACTCAGCTCTATCTCATAAGAGGCTAATGTGTTTTAAGAGAGATTTTTCCATTCATTCAAGAAACATTGTGTCACTCTGTACCAATGCTGTGATCATTCTAAAATGCAGAAGCACTTAACACTTCAGTCAGAAATTTGACAACTTTGACACATCTCTAATGCAAGTTCAGGCTCTAAGTAAGACTGGAGGGGAACCCTAAGATTTAACACATTTTTGTAAATAAAATGTCTATAGAAAAATCATTTGAAAAGTACATTAGATAATGGTAGGGGAAACATGTTTCTGCATGTGGATAATGGAGTGTTAAAATAGTTGGAAAATTGCCTGTCACAAGACAAATCTTGCTCACTTACTCATGGTCCTCAAGCATGTGCTTTTGTTATAGCAGTGCCTTTCTCCATAAAGTTCAGAAATTGTTTCTTAAGAAACTGGCTTGCAGATGTACAGTATCCTTAGAGGAGCAAAGAAGGAAAAACTCATTTTAAAGTATATAGATATCCTGTATAAAGTATATAGGTATCAGAGTCAGTAATTAAACAATGAATACAGTGATAAGAGAGCTCTGTATAAAACTGAGAGCTCAAAATTCCAAAATCAGTGTTTTGGTTTATTTTTCTTGTGTAGTAATCTAAAATTATAGAAAGGAAAGCAGTAATTTAAAGAAATGCATAATATTTTTGGAAGTCAAATGTGTATTGTTTCCTTTTGGAAAGAGTAACTGAAATGAAGGGTCTCTGAAGGGTTTTCCTTTTCTGTTTAGCTTTACTGCCTCTGCTTTGTACATGGTAGTTATTATAACACTTCTCATTGATACATAAATTTGAGTTGATGATGAACTGGCCCTTTGATGATCGATAGAATTCTCCTGTCGTTTGAATATCTTTTCTTAATTGTCCCCAACAGAATCTTCTTCTTCCCTTGGAATCTGTTAAACATAGTGTTGTTGCTGCTTGCTTTTACCACTTATATGTTACCTCTTACATTTTATCTTCTGATTGGATTGTAAGCTCTTTGAAGGTTGGAACTAGTTTTTATACTTCTTTATATTTCCACAACCTTCCATAGTACTTGAAAGTCAAAGAAACTCATTATGTCTGAAATTATGATTATGATTTTGGTAAAGGATATTATACCAGAATTAACAGCAAAGAAAGCACTTCAAATTCACATCTTCTTCAACTCACAGTAGTTTCTTTTGTTTCATGATAAAAGTGGAACAGGAGATTGGGTTGATTTTTGAGCAATACAACAAAAGCCTTAAATTATTTATTTCCCTGCTTTAGTTAAAATGCTTTGTTTTATATTTCACAGATAAGATGATTATGATGGTCTAATTCAAAGTTTTCTGTGTTTAACAGGATGGAAACTTCTCTGTCAGTAGTGTATTTGAAAAACCTCAAAATATGAAGGTGGTTGGGCAGTCAGCATTTGCAGACTTTGGTAAGACTGGTTTTAGCTTTTAAATTCTACCCCTCTTTCTGGCCTAGTTATATTAATTCCCCATATAACTTCAGTGTCTTCTGAACTATTCTAGTATTATACATGGCATGTGGTTTTAGCTTTTAAATTCTACCCCTCTTTCTGGCCTAGTTATATTAATTCCCCAAATAACTTCAGTGTCTTCTGAACTATTCTAGTATTATACATGGCATGTGGTTTTAGCTTTTAAATTCTACCCCTCTTTCTGGCCTAGTTATATTAATTCCCCAAATAACTTCAGTGTCTTCTGAACTATTCTAGTATTATACATGGCATGTGGTCAAATTCTTAATAAAATAAGGAGGAATTTATGACATATACATATGTTTAAAAAATAGTTTGAACTTAATCCTGTTTGCAGGAGTAACATGCAAAACTAAGAAGTCTATAACACTTTTCTAGAGAATACTAAATAGTAATTATTAGGAGTTCTTCACCTATATCCAGTGTATGAAACAAATATAATTAAAGAAGTTAATCTGTTGTCTTGAAACTTGAATATTAAAAAAGTATTTTTTATTTACATCTTAATTCCAAAAAAGAGTAACATCTATTTTGAATTTTCAAAAGAGAACATATGAATTTCTGTTTTTCATAAGAGTCTATCCAGTTAATCAAGTTCACATGGGTTAGGTACTTTCAAAACATATATGGCTCTTTTCATCATTTGTCAGGGTTATTGTTAAGAGTTTTTGTTGGGCCGGCCTGGTGGCGCACTGGAGAGTGCGCCGCTTGGGAGCACGGCGGCGCTCCCGCCGAGGGTTCGGATCCCATGTGGAGACCGGTTCCCGCTCACTGGCTGAGCGCGGTGCGGGCGCGACACCGAGGGTTGCGATCCTGTTGCCGGTCTCCGGTGCGGGCGCAACACCGAAGATTGCGATCCCGTTACCGGTCAGTAAAAAAAGACAAAAAGGAAAAAAAAAAAAAGAGTTTTTGTTGACCACCACCTAAAAGATGTCTGAAACTCATTTCCATACTCCTGCTTCTTCATTCTTCCAACAAACATCTCAGCCTTTCCTCACAATGTAAATGAGATGTCACTATTTCCAAACACCTCAATTTCCTCACTTATAAAATGGAATGACAATAATATCCATTTCACAAGGCTATTATGAATAATACAAAATGACTAAAGCAAAGTGCCAGGCTTATTGCAAGAGCATAAGAAATTATAGTTTGAGTCCCTTCAGTGGACTTACTGTTTTTTGTTGCTGTTGCTGCTCTTTACTCAGTTGACTAAATCAACTCATTTTTCAGTGTCTTAGTGATATATCCCAAGGTAGCTAAAGCCAGAGGTTTGATAATGTTATATAATGGAAATTTCAACATGAATCTTTATGTCTTACTGTATTTAGTTTTATTATATTGAGTATTACTTAAGTTAGGAGTGGCTGGTTTACAGTTAATGCAAATTGTCAAGTGATAGAATGCATGAAATTATATTTTGAAATTTGCTGATTGATTTGGTTGGCTGGATTGATAACAGATCCCTTCATAATTCTGTCTCTAGGAAAGAAAGTATACATGCACTATATAATTAACCAAGGGTTAAAGGGGCTCATAGACCTCCCTGACCTTCTTAACCCCTGTTAAGAACCTCTGGATTAAAGCTGTGTGTTTTATATCATAATGAATTGCCTTGCTTTTACCAAAATTATTAGTAGTTTTACTTAAATTTTTAAAAAATTTTCCTAACCATAAACATAGACATTTATGATGGTGGTGTTTTTAAGATATGCAGAATATACAAAATTAAGAAACATAACTATTTCTTGCATGTTTTTAATAACTTTAGGTAATTTATCAGTAAACTTTTTTTAATGTATCAGTAAACTTCTAATAAATATCCCACAATACCTTTTTAAAAGTTCATGTATTTTTAGTTGGATAGTATCAAAAAGCAAGACTGCTAATGAATCCAAAAAAGAGTGCTAAGAGGTGATCAGAAACCATTGACATATTAAAATGTAGTGCAAGAGGATGGCCAAGAAAAGGCCTTTGGATTTATAGTTTAAGAGGGCATTAGTGGCCCAAAAGTTACTATTTACAGATTTCTCAGAGCAGTCTCTGAGCCATAGAAATCAACCAGTAAATTGTGACTACTACTGGTTAGTGTCAGTTGAGGTGCTGGGCCTTAGCCTCATGTTTGGAAGATCTGCACCCCATAACTGCTTCTAATGGTTAAGCAGTCATCAAGGAATGTGTATCTTCTAAGAAGACATGTTTTGTGTCTTGTCCTAGTATATCACTCTTTTAAGCTATGTGTTAGAGTTGAATCTTTTTTCTAGGTAGGCTCAGAATATCAAATTGTAGAAGTCCTATAAATAAGGTGGTCTCTCTTTCTTATATAGGACAAAAAAGTCAGTAGAAATAAGGTACATTTTTTTCCATCAGAAATAATTAGCTAGGACCAGACTTAGAGAAAACATGTACTAATTTTATATGTAATACCAGATGTAGTGGAAATCAATAAAAAGCTATAGATTGAGGGGAAAACAGAAACCGTATATAGAATATCAGCATTTTCTATAGAATGAATCATTTTAAATCTCATGTAAATATATAAATTTATATATCCAAATCTGATGCTAACTCTTACATATCAGATCATCACAAGGATATCATACTTTTTTCTTCAAGTGAAGGAATACTGGGCATGATGGTGAAGCCTTGGAATTGTCTATCAGATCTCCTAGATTATCCTATAATAAAAAAAGAGCTAGTGAAAGTGGAAAATTTAATCATTCATGAAAGTTATTAATGTATTGGATAGCACTGAACAGCTTAAAGGTGGTGCCATTGATGGTTGACACCAAATCTGATTCAATTGAGGACCCCCAGTGCCTACCACAGTAAATAATCAATGACCTTTATTATAGTGAAAGAGAAAGGCAGGGAAGCGCTACAATAAAGGTATTTAATGAAGTCTTTATAGTGCTTGGTATAATTCAGATGTCAATTCCAAATTAACAATGGTAGAGCTGAAATTCTTAGTTCAAAACAACACTAGCAATTACATCCCCCTTGTTTTACAATTAGGTATATACAATAACAGTCTGACAAATTAAAATTGTTCCTTGTTAGTGCTTGATCTGGAAATAAGAGTAAATCAGATGAGCCACATATGGAAATTTAAATTTTATATTTAGTCTGAATGCTAATTGGTAATTGTTCATATTCTCTCTTACAAAAGAATTTTAAAAATCAAATGCCTCTAGATAGACAGGTGATGATTATATTATAAAAGAGTCTGTATAGTAGAAATTTCTGGGTGTTATGCTTTCTGGGCTTGGTTTTATTCTGTGAATCATTTAAGGTTGCTTTTTATTCCAAACCTTAAATTAATAATGGACTTTTTGTTTGATCGTGCATTTGTTTGCATTCTGTAGTTGAAAGTTGGCTGCTCTTTCGTTAAGTAGCCTTATTATTTTTCTCATTAAAAAGGGACACTGAACTCTAATTGAGAATCATCAATAAAAGAGAAAAATGTTTGAGGTTTCAGATATTCTCTCTTAAATGTACTACTATATAACTTTTACAGTACTTTCATAGTGCTTTCATCACAGTCAGAATTTGTCAAGTAAATACAAATACAGAGTACGTCAATATGTGGAAATTAGTGTAAGTGCTAGGTTCAGGGAGCTCAAAATATAATGCTTTTTATTTTTTTGGATGAATTCTATGGTACAGACATATCAGTACATTCAAATAGTTCAATCTGTGTATTTTTAAAAATTGTGCAGCAATCAGTTTTTCTTCCATTCATTTAGTTTCCTTCCTGTTTTGTAATGAAAGATTTATACTACACACACAGTGTCGATTAATGTATTCAAAATTTAATTTTTGGTTGCTTACTACTTGGACTGTTCCTATTCTAGTTGCATGCCTTATAGCCATGAATGAAGCATGGAAGAGTTTAAATTTTATTGAGAGAGGGAAGACAGAAACAAAGTAAATTAGTGAGGGATATTTAGAAAGTGGTAAGAGCTTTGAGGAAATAAAACAAGGTGCTGTAATAGGAGGTGAGAAGGGCTATTTTAGGTAGCTGGTTGAAGGCACATTTGACCTGAGACTTGAACGAAGTCATAGGAGGTCTTGGAGGAGAGTGCTCCATGCAGAGGCGACACCTAAGTGAGGAGTCTAAGACAGAAATGAGCTTGATGTTCAAGGAACAAAGAAGGCAGGCACTCGACCAGGTCTTGTAGGGTTTTGTGGACCAAGATAAGAAGTTTATTCTAAATGTGATTGGTAGCTTCACAATTAGTTAAGAAGATATGCAATTAACCAGGCAAAGACTATGATGACTTGAGCCAGGGCAATCACCAGAAAATGGAGGGTCTTATTTAGGATATATTGGAGACAAAGTTGACAAGACACACTGATGGATTAGATGTTGGAGGGAAGAGAAACGAAGAATCAGGGATAACTTCTAGATTTTTGGCTTGAACAACTGTCTGGAAGACAGCACCATTTAATGAGGTAGAAAAGGAGTAGGAAAAAGAACTTTGGAGTTCTATTAATTAGTTTGGAACATTTTAAGTTTGAGATGTCTATTAGACACCAAAATGAGATACAAGTGGGAGATACAAGTTCCGGAAAGATGCAGAGTTGGATATTAGCAAATTCTTGTTTACCTCCCTTTTAGAAGACGGATAATGGATTAATGAAGGAGTACATGTCCAAAGCATCTGCCTTTCTTCCTAATATAACTGTACTGCAGCCACACTGGTCTCCTTACTGTTCTTCAAAGCATCCCTTTTGAGGGCCTTTGCTCCTGCTCATCCATCTGCATGGAATTCTTTTCCTCCAGACACTCTTCATGGCTCACTCTCTCACCATCTTCTGATTTTGCTAAAATACCACCCCCTCCTGCAGGCCTTGCTGATCATTCTATTTCAAACTGTAAACCCTACCCCCAGCACTCCTGACCCCCTTTCTCTGTTTATTTTTCTCATAGCATT